TCAACAAATAAGGGATTACTGACAATCACCTTATAATAGTAGAAATAGAAGATTTAGGAGTATCAATAATTAAAGAGCACATCCAATCCCTAGAATATATACAAGTCCTAATAGAAGAATACAGAATAAATAAAGAAAGTGACTTTCACCAGCCCTATTGCTTCTACATAGATGGATCATATGGAAGAGAAAAAGACTAAACATTAAGAATGGGAGCCACCTGGCTACAAGAAAAAGAACCAAATCCAGGAAGATTCTTTTAAGCAGGAGTAGATAACTGGCTATCAGTACTTCGGACAGAACTAGTAGCGATCATCTTAACACTCTTGGTTATACTCCAAAGTAGCCAAATAGAAATCCAAATAGATAGCACAATTTGTATCAATACTCTACAAAAGCTTCTAGATTCATTTGTTATCAAATACAGGAAAAAGAAACAGAAAGCACAAGAACTGGCAATTGTGGATAAGATATATACAAAAAACAAATCACAATTAAAATAACCAAAGTGAAAGCACATAACAAAGATAAAGCCAACAACAAAGTAGATCTTCTTGCCAAAGAAGCAAAAGAAGAACCCAAGATTATCTGGAACAACTAGTATCAGCAAGAAGCTCTAACAACATTATGCTGGAATGAAATTTTTATCGATATTGAAATAAGAGATTTTATTAAAAAAATATATAAAAGAAACATCCTAACAAAATAAGCAAACCAGAACTGAATACAAAAAAGAGGAACTAAAGAAATAGATGACCAAAAAAATTTCTATTGAAGAAGTTTCTGGAAAACAAACAGAGTAAGAGATTTCTTAACAACATTACTCAAACAAGTTAAAAAAAAACCTTTTACATAAAACTGATGCATAATAAACTATCAATCTTGGACAATATAACTAAAAGATTTCCTACAAAATATGGAAACCTAATCAGATGTTTATACTGTTAGCAAGAAGAGGAATCTCTTAGGCACCTTCTCACTTGCAACAGCATCTTAAAAATTTATAAAGAAATATGGAACCATAATCAGGACCAAATATTCAACAAATGGCTAGAAAACATTCAAGTGAAAAAAGTACAAGACAAGTAGACTACCATACAAAACCTTTTGCAAAGATAGTACAAGAACAAATTCTTCACAGAAACAAATATTATAAATATATACTTAGGACTCTTTTCAAAGGAAGATATTGTAAAATGGATCCAAATAATGACCAATGCTAAGATGAAAACCAGTGAAGCAAAACAATTACTGAAGAAACTTTCAAGAAATATTTGTAAGCAAGTTTAGAAAAAGATATAGAATAATAGATGTGCCAGGCTATAGGACTTCAAAAAAAAGTCCAAAATATATAGACATAAAAAGAAAAACATTAATGAAAGAAGAAGAAAGTCAAGAGGTCAAGAACAGGAAAAAACAAGCTTCAAGATATTACAAGACAAGGAAGAAAACTCCAGTCCTCAGATGCAAGACAAAATTTCAATTTGAGATTGGATTAAAGAAGGAAAGAAATGGCTAGAAATATAAAAATAGTCTAGATTTTGCTTAGATGAATTGTAGTAATAAACTGCAGGCAATGATCTTTAAAATTGAACTCTATAAGTAAGTAAATTATAAAAGAAGCAACCTTTTTCATCTCCAAAGTCATATCTAGAAACATATATTCAAGGTAATAAAATAGTTTATGCAATATAATATATTATATATTATTTGTTTTCTGTAAAGATTTAATAAACAGTATGCACTTGTTTGACTATAGAAAAAAAAATAATAAATAAATTGTTTTCTAATAATAGATAGTATTTGTTGTTATAAATAAAAACCTATTAACCTAATAAAATATAATTAATATCAAAAATAAAAATTGTTTATACAGTAGAATTCATATGTCATTGACCAACTTCTATAAATTTAAATTTATAAATGTTAATCAATGATATATGAATTCTACTGTATAAACAATTTTTATTTTTGATATTAATTGATAAAAAATAATACTATTAATATATATTAATTAATTATAATTGATTACTAGCAGTTATATATTAACTATTAATAAATAATTCTTTAAAAAATTTTTAATATTATTTATATTTCTTTTATATTTTTTAGTTTGGAACAACTTTATATATAATTATATTATTTATTTAATGACTTCTCGCAATTTTTCTAATTATATAATGTTCAATCACAATAATTTTATATTATTTAATTATTTTCACAATTCTTTTCTTATTATTTAACTCTCTAATATATTATCTTATTACTATTTTACTACTTCATATTACTTTCATTTACACATTTCTATTATATCACTTTAAGTATCATAACAAGAATACTGTAGGTTCTTTACAATACTATTATAATAATTGATTATATAACTGTCATCGTATCATTTTTTTTTTTTTTTTTTTAATACGAGTAGGCTTTACTCTAATTTATTAAATTTGCTGCAAATAATATACATTACATATATTTCTATTCACACTTAAATTATTACAATTAAAATTCACCCACAAGTATACTATCCAGATACCGCCTACCTATAAAAACTATTCTAAACGTACCAATTATTTTCTATATCTTCAGCCTCAAATTTGTAAACTTTTCGGTAAGATCCAACCACTAATCAAATTACCTATCGGAGTATTGTGTCTTTATTTCCTCCTGGTAGTTTATCTTATTTAAGACTATGGGCCTGAATTGTTACCATTTGGGGAAGTGGATGGAATCTATTGACCAGAGTTTGTTTTAATACCTTTAAACACGGAGTTGACAATCTAATCCCTTTTTAGATAATTCTAGACTTTAAGTGTAGGCTGCTTATTTAAGAGGGCACAACTCCTCCAAAGTCAGGCTAAGTCTTAAGGGGGATCTTTCATTCTGGCAATTGTTATCAACTAAGTACCTTCATTACAGGTAAGAATGGTGTGTATTGCTGGCAAGTCGTCACTCATACTGAAGGGGGGGTATGTTGAAAGTCTTGCTGAACAGTTTTCCAGTTTTGTGGCCTTCCATATTATATTTCTTTTATAGTCTCATGGACTATAGGGAAGGAAAATGACCTATTGTAGAATTGGGGATTGCATCAAACTGAACAACGATCATCATAATACCAACCAGATGATCGTCACACCACAGCACCTTTTCTAGAAAATCACAATCTTAATGCTCGCTGGATCAGCGTGTGAAATGGCTTCTCATGAAAAACTGCACTTAACAGGTTATGGCGTTAGATACTATATTAATTCTATTCAATTGCCCTCACATGGGGTTGAACTGGTATCTTGTGATTTGACCTGTGAAGTGTTAACCACTACACTATAGACCCACAGATTCTTTTGTCATTGTATCATTATTTTTATTTTCTAATATAATTTAATTAAAATATAAATTGATATTTAATATTTTTTTTTACATTTGATTTTAAAAATTAAATTAATATATTATTTAAAGTTTCACTTTTTTTTTATAATTTTATTTAAAAATTATAATGCAATATAATAATTATTTTATTATTTACAAATATCAAAATAAAATAAAAATAAAACTTAAAAACAATTTAAAACAAAAACTATAAATAATTTTTATAATTTTAACAAATTAATTTCTTCTTAAAGAAGTTGTATTATAATAATTATTTTTATTTTTATTATTAAAACTTTTATATAGTACAAATCAATTTTAACTTCCTTTTATATATTAATAATTTTATTTTTAATTATTAAATTTTATTTCTTTCAATTTCAAATAAATAATTAAAAGTGTTTAATATTATTTAACAATTATTCTAATTTAAAAAATTATATACTGTATATATATAAATTAAATGATTATTATAAATAATTAGTATATAACTTATTGAAAATACATATTTAAATGTTTTTTTAATAAAAAAATATTATTTATTTACTAAAAAAAAATAAATAAAAAAATAAAAAATAAAATTATGATGATAATTAAGATATACAAAAAGTGAAAAATTTAATTAAAATATTGTTTAAAAAAGATACTAAATCGATATAGTATTATAAGAATTAAATCTAATTTTGTTTTAAATTATTTTTGAATAGGAATTTTGTTAATTATAAAAAAATTTTTTTTATATTAAATTTGAATATAGTCTTTAAGAAATTTAATCTTTAAAATTTATATTATTATAAAATAATTATAAAGATCTAAATAACATTATAATAATTACAGTATATACTGTACATGTATATGATTTTTAATAAAACTAGTAATTAATTAATTTTTTTTTTTCTTGAATTTTTAAAATTTACGCGTATTTTATCAATTTATTTTATAAGGAAAACAATATAATAGAATATATTAAAGATAAAAGCAAGTTTAAGAACATTGTAGATGTTTGATTCATTCAAGACTTGATTTTAAACAAAGAACAATTTAACAATGACATTTGTGTTTATACGCTTATTAATTAATGTTACTTCTTAATTATGTAATCCCGAATATACAGTATCAACTTTAGACAAACAAGATCAAATTAAAAATTGCGTAGTCAAGATACTGTATACGTTACTTAATTTTCTCAATTATCACGCATTCGATTTTATCATGTTTGAATCAAGTTCATCAAGGTGACTATTCAACCAAACAAATAAGATTCTGTAAACTTTATCGTTATTACTTCTTTGCAAACCTATACATTGTGTGCAACCCTTAAATCTTTGTCGTTCAAGAACACAAAAATTAGTAGTTTATTCAGTCTCTTTGAAAATAAACAGACATTAGTTTCTATATTGAACGCCCCATGCAGAATCTGTGCACGACTGTGCAGTACTCGTTAGTTCCCGTGCATCCCATTCGAGAAAATGAATTTTTTTTTCGTCAAATATAAAATAACGACTTGGTCTCTACTAAAAAACCTCGTGTAACACCTCAGATTCTTTCTACCCTGCCGACTTCTTTTTTCTTTGCAGTGGAATGGAAGTTCATATCACGCGTTTTCATTAAGGTTATGGTTGTAGATAGTCATTATGTACCCATCGAGAAGCAAAGTGACGACTGCATGTCGTAACTGTAAAGAGAAGAAAATAAAATGTAGTGGCCCTCCCGTGTGTGACAGATGCCAGGAGAAAAATAGAAATTGCGATTTTATCCCGGTACAAAAGAAACGAGGCCCCCGTCCGAAATTGAAGCCAGAGATTGTAGAATCTCCTAAAAATCGACTTCTCGGGCACCATCCTTATATTGAGCTTCCATTCTCTTCAGATAATGAGAAGAGTCGAGAACTATACCACACTAATGAAACCGCTCACGTTATTAACGTGGAAAATAGTATTGACAGGGAGATTAAGGACAATGAAGTAAAGTCACGTGAAGGTACATTTCAACGCATTTTCAAGTAAAACTTGTGTTCCAAAGATAATAACAATAACGATAACGGTAAATTGCCTTTGAAAAGATAATGGAATAAGCAACCATTTGCATTATCCATCCTGTGATCATATGATCTGGCCGTTCGTAAGCCATGAGAAGAACTGTGAAACTATTCATGGATTATCTCAAGGTAAGGATATTCTTGAACAAGAAATCGCTAGAGTTCTCTTCCAAATGCACATTTTATTGTCATAATTTTAATTTGCTCTTCCATCATCTCCAACCATGATTGTTTATAAGTTCCTCAACTCATGAATAATCCGCGTGAAACATTTTCCATAAGCGAACCTCGATCGCGTACAGAGAATTTAACAAAAAAAACCAAAAGATCAAATTTGTCTAATCCCAAACCAAAATTAAACAATAAATTTCTGAATTCCACCATCGCATCATTTAATTCATTTTCTTCGACTCCAATGTCTTCGTTCCACACGAATATCATAAACCCACCAATTCTATCAAAAATTCAATCGGAGTTTCTAATCAAATTTTACTTCACTCGTCTACACGAGTGGACTCCGGTGCTAAACCAACTAGTTTTTTTGGCCCAATATTATTCAGCCTCTAGCCAACCATCAGCGGCAGTTCTCTACGCCATATATTCGGCCGTCGTCGGTTACATAAAATCCCATGGAACCGAAATGCTTGGTCACAACATTCCGATGAACGTTGGGTTATACGTTGAATTCACAAAATGTTTTTTGACGGAAGAATATCAAAATGGAGGTGGAACTCTACTGGAGAAATTTCAGGCCAGCTGTATCTTATATTGGTGCGTATGGTTGGGATATCTTGACAAAGATCACGTATTCATTACGGCTGACCTAATGTGGAAGACCTGGCAAGAATTGTGTCAAAATAAAAAAAGACTTCATTCCATGGTTTTCGGGGATATGAATAGCGAACATATTTGGGAACAGGAACTCTTTCGGCGAGCCTATTGGGTATTTTCGATGGCAAACATCGATCGATTCGATTTCATGAATTTGGACGAGCACGTTCCTCTCCCAGAAATTGAGGATGGTTATGGAAATGAAATAGAAATCATAGAAAAAACTTACAACGTGACATACGAAGATATTCTTCGGTGTCAACACGGCCTGGATCAAGTTTATACCATCCACAGTAGTACGATAGCTGAATTCCAAATTTTGATTCGTAGTTATAAAATTATTCAATCAATTCGTAACGATGAAAAAATACCGATGACTCTAGTTAACAGAAAGACAATACCAGAAGTGTGTGTTCCCGGTTCGAAACAATCAAAAAAAATCCAACTTTCCTACGTCTATCATGACATGGTGTCAATCCTATTATACACGAATATAAGCAAGAGTGCTCATGAAGAGTTAATCAAACACATTGCGATTAACGCGCTTCAACTTTCCGAAAGTGAAGAATTGGTGCCTTACTCATGTTTGTATTTTTTTTGCTTAAGGAAAACAACCGAATTTCACATGATGAATTCCAAGTTGGAATCAGTGCCCCTGTGTGAAAACCGTCCCGACGACGACACCTTTGATCAAAAAAGAACGAAATTGGCAAAGGGGTTACTTGCTAACGCGCTATATATTTTAACAAAACACGGTTATAATTACTTCCTTAACAGAATTTCGCGCAAAAGTTTTGAATTTTGGATTTCTTTTTGTGCTTCAGAGAATGTAGACCTAAATAAGAATTCGAAATTACCAGAGGAACGTAGATCGTTGATATTGAACTTGCGCGACATTAATGGAATGATAGATCTTTTCGAATTGGTAGATTCGCCTAACAATTTCTCCATGCATTATGATGAAACTTCTCCAACCCGTTACTTCGATGACGGGCAATATCAAACTCAAACACTTCTCTCCCCATTTTCTTATGGAGAAGTGACATATCCCGAAAGCCTTATGGACAATAATCTACTACTATTCGAATCGATGAACGTCCATCCTTGCCAACATCAACTTGAATTTTGCTTTATGGATTTCGCAATTTCAGCAACGGATAATGCTTGAATTTTAATTCACCTAGCAATTTAATGTCACGTTAAAAATAGGAGTCGCGAGCGAAAGTGAATTGACTACGGTTATTGACAGATTTTGTACCCATAATATTCCAGAAGGAAAGCTATTTTTGGCAATTATTTGATTTTTCCTGAATCCTTTACCGCGTTCGTAAATTGTATTTTATAGAAATCTTCACGTTTATTTCTCTCTTAAAAAATCATTCCCCTCATTCGTTTCTTTCTGATTTTGCTGAGGGTTATTTATTGTAAGTAAGACGAATTATTCAACTTTATTTATATTTTCATGTTGGGCATGGAAATAAATGTGACTCGTCGGTTGTTATGGATGCCCGATCCAAATTTTGTGAGACATACTGTAACTATGGTAAAGAAAATTTAAAAACTTATATAAGTTCAATCTTTGGTATATTGGCATTCGGCTAAAATAGATTGTATAAGCTATAAGATCGGATATTTTATGTTTGATGCTTCCGGTGAATAAACTGATTATTTTGAAATTCAGTAAAAAAAAGGATCTTATTATGATGACAAAATTTTTATTTCACGTGATTAAAGACAAAACGCTAGTTTGAATTATTCAATAATAACACATTGATGATTCGGTTTTATCACGTGATAAAAATTAAACTCGATATACAGTATATCACATTCTAATTCCCAGTGCACACATGATTATGATAGCATTCTTTAAAAGAATTCTATAATTGTATACAGTTACGCCCAGGACCTAATAAGCGTAACTTCTAATAGCCTTTATTCAATTTTAACCTCCTAATCCCTGTTGTAACTTTCAACCCGGTCCATAGAAAAACATAAGCCACCGGTACAATATGAAAGTACACCAATCCGATAAGAATGCACACCACCGGAGCCACCACGATCCAAATAGGCATGGTGATAATGGTGGCAACGATCATTGAGGCGAAAAGCAAAGGATTTAATGCCAACAAAGCGATAATCGCACTTGAAGCCAATATCACGATTTCACACACCTCGGTGAAAATTTCGTGAGGGGTCGATGGAGACGATGTAGCGATTGTTAGGTTTGAAAAAGAAATGTTGGTAGTATTGGTATCCGGTGAACCAATTTTGGTGGGAGACGATGAGGATGAGGATGGCGAAAATATCGATGGTAGAATAGGTGAATAGGCTCCATCGTCCTCATAATTCCGGGTAATGTTACGGGCATCGGACGATGAATGGACGTGACGTATCGATCCATTCTTGTGAGACGAAGAGGAGAGTGATGGGTCTGGAGTTGAAGAAATGGATAAAGGATTGTGAAACGAGACTATTTTCTTCGAGCGCCTAGATTGGTTTGGAGTGATCTCGAAGGATGATTTTCTGGACGATGTCTCTCTGGTGCATTTTTTCTTTGTGTCCGTGGACGTCATCGTCGATTGCGATGAGATCAGTTCCGAAATTTTGATGAGAATGTCTAATATTGCGATTGGGTTGAAGGTTCTCAAGAGGTTGAGTAAGAATGGAAAGAGTATTTTCCCGAATGAGATAAGCTTTGGTGTGGGTGAGTAAGTCATATACCGCAAGTGAGACGGAACGGTTTGAAAATGAGATTTGATAAGAAAGCGTTTTGAATAATGAAGTTTTCATTCGATTCGGAATTGGAAATTATTTGAATATATATATATATATTGTATATCCTTCTCTTTATCGATCCTGTTGGTCTCAAAGAGAAGAACACGAGTTACAAAATTTCCGATCGTTCCATAAGAATGACAAGAATGTGTATTTTTTTTCTTTAATAATGGTTTCAATTATATTATTATTATCCATTGTTAGAACGAACATATGGACATGCATGAATCGATCATCAAAACAATCAGAAGTCTTGGATCTCTTTTGGAATTAAATTGGTCGCAATCTTTTTATCCAATCAATTTTCTCACATCGAATTTTCATTAATACCGTATGTCGCAGTGCGTTGTGCCCCTTGTCATGGAAGTTCATCGAGTGATGTTGTGTCTTGGGGATTAGTTGATTGAGAATAATTAATAATTAAATTAGACAAATACGTACGTCATTGAACATCCTAGTCATTCCCTGGGTATACTCTTGCCATGTGAGAAGGTCACTGTAATTTTGTTTTTCCATGTGATGCAACTTCGCATAAATAGCAATAAACGTGGCATGTTATAACAATGCAATCGTGCATTGTTGTCTTATAATTTATCAAAATAATATATACAATTAAAGAAATATAATAGATAAATAAATATTATATATGTATATAAACAAGAATAATGTATCATTTGTTTTTATTGCCGAAACCAAAAATTAATAAAATTGATTTATCATAATATGAAAGCCTTTTCTATTGCGAACAGGTTCGATCAAATATTTTCTTTACCAGTAATAAAAAAGGCCATTGAAACAAATTGCAAAGATTTTTTAAAAATATATGTATATTACTGTATGAATCTTTGCGAATTGTTCATTAAATAATTTATATAAAATCATATAAAATCAATTTTTTACTTTAATTTTAATTTTATTTAATTTATTTTAATTTTATTTTAATTTTATTTATTTTTAATTTACTGTATATAATTTTATTAGTTATTATTTAATAAATTTCTTTAACAAAATATAAAAATAAAATAAATTTATTTTTTTATAGTTAAAAAAAAACAGTTATAACAATTCTTATTTTTAAATACTGTTTTAATATTATTATTATAATAGAATAAAAATATTTTTTAAATAATTTTAATCTTTAAATCTTTAAATAATATATATAATTATATTATATTATATTATTAATTGATTATTAAATTATAAGCTAAAATAAAAGTCCAAAGATTTTTGTAACAGACTGTATTTTTAATTTAATTTTAATTTAATTTTAATTTAATTTTCAATTATTTTTTAATTATTTTTAAATTATTTTTAATTTTATTTTAATTTCAAAATTTATTAATTCAATATTAAGTATCAATTAATTGAATGTAACTTTATTTAAGGAGTTAACCAACCTAAATATAAGGTGATGTTATAGAGTTTATTATACTAATTGAGTTATAGGCTTTTATAAGAGTTATATTAGAAGTTTCATTTTATATAACCTTTCCTGCTTTAACCTGTTTTTAGCTTGTGATCATTAAAAAACCCAGAGGTTTCATCTTTATGTAGTATAATTTAATTTGATAGATAATTTGCAACTGATTGAATATAACAGTATTGAAAGCTAGTTAACCAATTATAAAAATAATAAATTTTTATAACCAAGTGTATTTGAATTTTAGACCTTCTTTTGGTAACCTATAAAGTATTACTATTATATTATAAACTTATAAGTCTGATAATTATATTTTTATTTATATTTATATTTATATTTATATTTATTATTGTTATTAAATTAAATGTAGAATTAAGAAAGCTTATATATTAATTATATATTATTTTTTTAAATATTGTAATAACTTTTAAAAATTTAATTATTTTTTATAAATTTAATAAATTTATTGTTTTATTAAAAGGTTAAAATAATAATAAGACCTATGAGTCTATAATACAGTGGTAGTGCTCCATAAGTCACCAGAAGAAGGTCTAGGGTTTAACCCCACCTGGTTACAAAAATTTATCACCTTTATGATTGGTTAACCGGCTTCCAATTTATGTCATACCCAATCAGTTAATAATCTATTTCCAAATTTGTTAAGCTACATGAAGATAGGACCTCTAGTCTTTCCAATGATCGTGGACTGAAAACAGGTCAAAGCAAGAAAGGTTGCACAAGAAAAGACTTTTGGTCTAACTCCAGTATAAGTTCACAAAATTCTAATCCAAACTGGTGATGGCAGATTCTATTATACAATATAAAGAGGCTAACTCTAAGTCAGATCTATCCTAATCTGGAGCTTAAAGATCTATCCCATGAGTGATGTTCTTCTGAACTTAAATAGACCGAAAGGACAAAGGTCATCTGTCACAGAAGATGACAATCTAGATAAAAATCATTAAGACCAAGTGAGTCTGGTGAGAATCATCAAGATTAAATCGAAATCCAAGCAAAGATACCAATTCCACAGGTGATGAAAATGGTAGTGCAACACTATACTAGTAGCATATCCCGAGGATCAGTGATAACAATAACTAAAATATTGGGATTAATTTCTATAATAATATTCTATAATAACTTGTTCCCTGCAATAATGGATCAGCAGGTTGTAGGTGAATTTAAACTAGTGGTAGAATTCTCCCCCTTGCAAAAGTCCCACCTGACATATGGATACATCTTCAAGGTGTTTAAATGAATGCATAGTTGGGTAATAGTGATTAGTGTAGCTAGTCTTATAGTAATATATGCACTAGTATAGTGTTGCACTACCATTTTTATCACCTTTATGATTGGTTAACCGGCTTCCAATTTATGTCATACCCAATCAGTTAATAATCTATTTCCAAATTT